ATCGACGACAACCATCTCTCTGTCTCCGAACTTCACAAACAAACGTGGAATCTCCTTGCTCCTCCATAACCTGTCGACATAAACAAACACTGTCTACATGACTCTTATTTTCCCCTGAGACATGATCTTCACCGTTTGGCTAATTCACCACAATTTTCACACTACTCTGACCATCTTCTTGAATGCTAGGATAAAAAACACATAATCATACCACTTGGCGTCCATCCCGACAGCAACTCAAAAATAGATTGCTCGTATCATGGTAATTAAGCCACCTGATGATTGATTCTTAGTAATCATGAAATACCTCGAAGTATTATGGTAGCTACGATACTCACCCTCACCCCTCCACGATGAATAATCTCGATCGACAGTGATGTCATCTCATAATCGAGGCATTTACTTGATCAGTTGTGTTTGTTTCGATATCGAGAGAGTTGTCATGAGTCGAAAACGAAATGTCTTGCTTCTTTCTCTTACATTTTTTCAAGAAAAAACTGACAAGAAGCTAAGCATCTACCGCATGGCATTGATAAGAAACAGCAGCAACACGATCATCGCATGTCTATTCGTATTCTCCACGTGATTTGATTACTCAATCGATGAATACCATGATTTGGTGTTGACGAAACATTCTCATCTGATGAATGTGTTCATGAGATGAGAGATCTCGGAATCATTGTTGAGATGGAACAACACATTCATGAGCCAGACCCATTCACGGTTCATTTGTTTCGATCCAAACAGTTCTGACGATTTCCTGTTCATACTTTTCTTCTCCGTCAGATGCAACGGAAGAGCGATCTGCCTCGTCAACGAGAAGAAGTATCGTTCTCGCTTTGTCGCCATTGTTCCTCTTTCCGATTAGCTCTCAGTCAGACAGACCCACAGCGATGACGGGCAAGGCAAATATAAAGATCGCATACGAAAAGAACGTCATTGTTCGACATTGAACGAGTTTTGTTCATTGTTGAAATTGCGTTGGCTGTTGTCTTCATTCGTATTGGATCGCGTAGTTATTTCAGAGAAAGAGATGGTCTCTGTTCGACATCTTCGTCCTACAATTTCCGATCGTCTTGTAATTGAAGCGTTCGGGAAACGACTTAAAGGATGTGATCCAAAGTCCTACACTGTACAAATGATTATTCATCATTTGAAGTAAAACTACAGAAGAGAAATGATGTTCAAAGATTTGAAACTCAATCCAGTTAATTGTCGAACGAATCAGACTGATAACAAAGGTGACAGAGACAACGGATGAGCCGGTGGGTGTTAAAGTCAGAGCGGAAGATCAGCCAGACTATTGATTCGCAGAACCGAAACAGAGTTTGAAACAACACCAAGACACGAGCGGCAATTGACGCGAGATCAATCAAATCGACCAGCCGAGTAGTTAATGAATGATCTCATCAACCAAGACAGAAAAGGCGCGCGAAGCCCCTCCACTTCTCACCAACACTCTCTCTAGTTCATTCAACCGAGGGAACAATCCCTCATGAACCGTCTTTAATGGCTCCCTTCGATCGCCATTAAAGGATCGTTTATTTTTGTTCATTCAATTTCCGAAGACTGCATGGCACCTATCGTAGTTGATATCAAGTGGTACTTCAATACTCACAAACTATATCTTCTTGCTCAAATGAATGTTTTATATTTCATTTTAAACGCTGTCAGAGAAGTTTACAAAGCTATTTTATCATGTGAACTCATATATTTCTATGTCCAACACAGTGTATAATATTGTATTGAGTTTTCTCAGGCATCTTGAGTTTAAACGGGAAACAAAAAATGGGGTTTTGTAGAGTCGACTTTGCTCTACAAAACCTGCTATATCTAATTTCTCCAGAATGTAGCCAATTTGAACTATGAGGATGAACTTTTTTGATTGAGCATTGTTGATTGAACAATGGAAGGGACGGGGTTCAAGCATTTTTTAAATAGTCCGTGTTGTAGAGCTCTTCAAGCTGCTCATTTTGACAGAAAAAGGTCCTAGCATTGGTCAATTATAGACGGTCCTACAGTCAAAATACTGGAAAACCATCATTGAAGGTTTTAGAAGGATTTTCACAGTATTTTGACTATAGAATAAAAAGAACTGGACGGCGGAGAAAATGTTTTTTACCAAAACGATCGGCACAAAAAGCTCTACAAAACCTAAGATTGCAAGAAAATTTGAGGACCTTTTATTTTTGTGGTCGACTACCGCATGTAACCACCCTCATGTATTGTGGGTGTGAAACCTTTTCTGGATCACATGGCGTACAGAATTTTCATTTTAAGTTAGTTTTTTTGGGTTTTCAGTATAGACTTCTTAATACTCATTTTTTCCCAATAGGGTAAGAGAGGTCGAAATTTTTTTCTTTTTCTCAGATAAAAGATGATCTTTTGACAAATAATAGAAACGGAGCAAATTCGTTCGAACAATTGCACAAGGGTGAATATTCGTTGTTATTTCTTCTTTTGAGATTGATAGGTTTTTGTTTGACCAAGATGGATGAAAGGCTTCATTCATTACTTTCTTCTCCACTGTGTGATTGCAGAGAGTCGCACGTAAAAGCCATGATCAGCATCAAACAAATCTAGTTGCGTTTTTTTTACACGGCGTCTTCATAAAAAACATGCACACAACACAGGTTCTTCTCTTGGTAGCATTTGTCGTCGGTGCAGCTCAGTCTCAGTCATGGGCCGGTACTTACACGGCTGACTCTTCATGCAGTACGTCATCTTGTTGTTGTTGTTGTTGTTTAACTGGGCAAGTAGTTGTGACAAGTTCTTCAACGAATATTTATGCAGTTAGTTCCAATGTGGCTGGTGTTTGTGGTAACGCTACCACATTCACAGGTGCTGCTTATACAAGTGGCTATACGGGATGAATAGTGGTAGCTGGTACCAATGATACACTCACACTTAGCTCTGATTGCCGCACTATCACAGTAAACAATCCAATAAACTCAACATGCAGTGGAAAAGGGGTGAAAAGTGGCGCCATCAAAGCGTATGCTAATAATATATTATTGTTTGCCGTAGCTCTGATCGGTATGACGGTGAATATGTCAAAGATGTGAACTATCGTCACCATCTGAACTATCTCACGTATTGACAAACTAGTATTTTTGTGTGTTTTCTTTCCTTTTTCTATATAATCTTGCATAAAATATTAATCCTATTGATCAAGTAATCATATAACGTGACTTGTCAAGAGGATGTGGGATGAACCTATATATAAAAAGAAGAAAGTTCGTCTGTCTGTCTGTTCTTCATGCATTTCCTTAGCATCGAACCAAATGCAACCAAATTGTCCAGGGAGCATCCTTGCATCCCGGAGCAGGTCAACAACTGCTTTTCAGCCGAAAAAGTTTCATATAAGGCCCACAAAAGGTCGAACTATGTATTTGACCAATCAAGCATTCTACCGTATGTTGGAAAACTATTGAGCAGCACTTCTAAGCATAAAGAATTTATGCACTCAGAGGTTTTGAAGGATGCTGAATTCAAATCCAATGTCAAATCATGTCCGAAACATATTGCATCGTCCGACATGGACAGAGAACGAGACTTGAGATTTCCTCTAAGGGACAGAAAAGAAGCAAGCATGTGATATCGTGCGTAGACATCCATACTCTATCGACAGACCAGTCGGATTTGAGTTTTCAACTATACAATTCCGTTGCTGCAGCTGATAACGAAGATGTTTCCGTACAGTACCGATGTTTTGTTGAGAGATGTTTTACGCCGAAGTGAGGAAGAAATGATTCGAATAGAGCTAGACAAACAGTAATAAGAGCAAATCTTCCGACGCTGAAGACTGATCGAAATGATAGCATTAAAATACCAATAGACAGAGTATTCGTATGGAGAAGAACTGCGAGTGAATTTTGCAACATAGAAGATCGGTAGCTTACAGACAAGCCCACCCGACTATTGTCGTCTGATAAGTGCAGGGTGCGATAGTGTATTTTCTCGCGCAACGCCGGTACCTCTGCTAGTAGAAATACAAAGCAAAAACAGACCAGACCGAGACTCTCGGTTTCGATATATCCCAATATGGAATTGGTTCACCTCGAAGCTGAGGCTCGAGATCACTGCCGAGGTATGAAAAACAACGGAAAATAATAAGATATTCATTCTCACCCTCACCCTCACCTAATTTCTAATCGTTAAATTATACATTCTGCGAAGTAAACAACAATCAGGTTTACTGATTAATGAACATCGATGACTGACGATGTTTTCTTATTGCTCAAAAAAATTCTAAATTGGGAATCAATTCCTGATCCATCAATTCATCCACTGGAAGCAAAATCTTTTCGTCCAGAATTTGCATCAATAGAAAAAGTTCGGTTATATCCCGCGATTCCTAAGAGCATTATTGTGAAGTTAATATTGATCTATCATTCGCTTTCTCGTAGAGAAAGTCCAGTAGCCATAAATTGTTTGCTTGCTTGCTTGTGTGTCCGCATCTCACTGATTAGTCGCCTGACTACGAAAAGGGACGTGAATCGTTTTCTCAGTTAAGTTTGATCAAAGGGTAGCCGGGGGTGGGGAGTTCTAATCTAAGGTTAGTTTCATGATATTAAACCAATCAGTAACTGGTTATTAATCAGTTATTAATTAATATTATTAATCTCTGAGAAAGTTTGACTAAATAGTAATCGAGGGTGGGAAGTCCGAATATCTGATCGATTAGTAATCAGTTATTGATCAGTTAACTATTATTATTTTTCACTTGCTCGTGTATTCGCACTCCACTGACTGGTTGAAAAAACATCAACCCAGGGTGATTTTTCGAGGTCAAAAAACAGTCATCGAGGGTGACATCCGGAGTCGAAAAACAGCTTTTCAGGTTGTGAGTGTGAAATACAGTCGAAGACTCACGCATCTACAACCTGCTCGTCCCTTTAAATTTTGAATATCACAAGAATATATTCGATTGATCAGTTGGTAACACAGAGTCTACAAGAAAGAGCTAAGCGAGTCCTCAAACGAGCTTTACTTGTTTTTTACTGCATGGAGAAAAAACCATTCTGACCAATTTTTATTTTTCTTCCGCGTTCATTAGTTTGAATATTAACTTCTTGTAGATATCCATCGTCTGTTGGATAGAATCCTTTTGGATAACTAATAGTAAACTGTCTTACATAGATTAATGATGGATTGATCGGTGACACCAGAAATCCACTTGGTGGATAATGAAGAGTGATACGAGAGATAATTGTATCTGTTTGAGTATCGATTATTGACATCTCTTTCGAAACAGAAAGAGTGCTGAGAAAAACGAAACTACCATCTTGAGAACAATCAATATTTCCACTACCGAAATGAGCATCAATTTTTATGAATCAATGTATTTGAGGTAAGATCAAGCATAGAAACGGAGTATTAGTAAAACACGCTCCAGGTCACTCCAACCGCTATTCCATTTCGAGTTCTGTCCAATCGATAGAGCTCAAGGTCCTCGTTCTAGAGCACCGCACACCAAGCCACTTTTATGAAAAGTATTCGTCAAAAAACTAAAAATTGTGGTGACATCATCATTCCAAGCCACCCTCGCCGTTTTTTCGTAAGACCACAGTGGTGTTATGAGAAAAACGAACCTTCAATCCGATTCGGACTTGATATCAGTGCCAGAAAAGTCTCTACTGAAACTAGGCGAAACTATGGATATAAAATGGATAGCAAAGAGGCAGTTGAGGTGTATGTACAGAGTGTCCAGAAATTCATCTACCAAAAAGAAAACTAAATATCTCGGTTACTTTTTAACGAAATCGAACAAACTTTTTTAAATGAAAGAGAAATGTTCAAAGTTTTATTTGATACCAAAGGTTTCTGTAGATACTGTTCCATTAGCATGTGATTTGAGAGCAACATTGTCTCCATTTAATCATCTTTGATACTGTTCTACAATATTTCAAGATAAAATCAATCGATAGAGTTTCTCTGTACACACGTGCGCATGTATTATTGTTTATTTCATAGCTTTCTCATCATTATAGAAAAATGAAGAAACACGACTGATCATCTCCTTGTTACACGTCGAAGATTGTTTCTAATTTGTTGAGACCAAGGATGATTTGACTGTAGTGATTGTTGTGCAACTAGTACAGCTCGTTGAAAAAATGTACAGGCTTTCGAGTAATTTTTCATGTCTTCATAGAGTAAACCGATGTTGTTGTAGGATAAAGCCAAACCAGGGTGACTTGAAGGAAGCGATTGTTCTTTGATTGCAAGAGCTTTTTCATAATATGAAAGTGCTTTTGAATAGTGATGTTTTTATACAGCACACCGATATTATCGTAAGATGCAGCCAAATGAGGATGATCTGAAGGAAGTAATTGTTGACTAATTTCAAGAGCTTTTTCATAATATGAGTGCTTTGGAATAGTCACCTGTGTTGGAATACGCCAAACCGATGTTGTTGTACGACATAGCCAAATCAAGATGATTTGGAGGAAGTGATTGTTTTCTAATTGTAAGGGCTCTTCCATGAGATGGAAGTGCTTTTGTATAGCTACCTATATTGGAATACATCATACCGATGTTGTTGTAAGATACAGCCAGTTGAAGATCATTAGGAGGAAGAGTCTTCTCTTTAATGGCAAGTGATTTCTCATAGTATTTGATTGCCTCCGGATATTTTCCTTGATTATCTTTAATCCAGCCAAGTTGATGATAGATTGGTGCTTTTTCGCTCTCCTCCGTTCTTTGATCAAGTAACATTTCATAAATCTCTTCAGCTTTGTCATTTTGACCGATGTTCTCTAATACTAAACCTAATCTTGCCCGTCCTTCTTCGTCTGTATAACTCTCTTCTCGTATGCGTTCAGTAAGTGCATTTAATTCTACGTCTGTATCACTGGTAAGTATCAAACTCACTTCGAAAAGTCTGCTATTTTCATCTATTTGTCTGGTTTCTTGGATTCGAAATACAGTGTGCATTGAGGATAATACTTCATCATCATCCCTGAAATAACTAATGCCACGAACTGAAGCGAATGATGTTGTTGATTGTTTTGAATCAATTTTCATTACAAACAAAATTCCTACTAAATCTGGATTCGTTACTGCTCGTTCAGCAAATGGCAGTGAAACTTCTCGTAGATCGTTTCTTCGAAGGTGATATTTTCAGATCGGACTGAAGATGTTGTCGAATCATTCAAATCTAGTTTCACTCTTTCTTTTAGCGGTTTGCCACGGTTATTTTAACAGTGTTCCCCGAGAAAAACGGTCAAAGGGGTCCGGTTCTGTTGTTGAGAGGTCGGGGTCGAGTGTCGCAAAACGAAAGTAGTCAATATTCAAAACATGTCAAAGTATTTTTCACGCCGAAGGGCGTAATGCATACGGAAACGATGAAGAAGTTCATCGATCATTGGTACAAGCTAGTAAGATTTTCGAAAAAATCTTGCTTAATAAAAATTCTGTTCCTGGGTGAGAGATAATAATCCGAAGCTTCTGATCACCGGTTCTTATGGATGCCACCTAAAACCCGAAATCAAACCAAGTTTTCGTCAGAAGAGTATTGTCGTTGCTGTCATCCCCAAAGGATGCACCCAGTATCTTCAAATTCTTGATACACTCGTATTTTCCACATTTAAAACACATTATTTCAATGCAGCAGAAGAATTTCTTGAGAAAAAATGGTCCACGAAACAAATTGAAATTGAGTGCTTCCCAGTCTCGCATCATTTGTACTCGTCTCACCTGGGAAGCCTGGAATCGCACATTGAAATCAATCGATTTGAAGAAAGGTTTTAGAGAGATCGGGTACACTTGGATTAAAGATTACATCGTTACTCCTCGAAGCTTACCAGGTTATATCTACGATCCTGAACGAGACGAAGATATTCGATCTGATGATGATGATGCCAATGATCTGCAAACCCGCATTGCGGAAGAAGCGGTCTTAGCTGATCAGCAAAGCATATCGATGAACAATAAATTCGGTGTCAAGCAGTTAAATCTTCTGGATTTACGGGAGCGAAAGAACTAGTGAATGACTACGTACAATATTTGTAGCTTTGTTTTGATCTGAAATTTGGCGACTTCTTTATACAATTCGAGTGTAATTGACGAAAAATACACGTTTCTATCATGATTCAAACAACTTTTTCTGAACTTAAACTCTAAGTTTCAAATAGAAGGGCTTCCCTAAATAGAAGGACCCTTAGAAATCCTTATTTGCTCTGCCATAACAGTAGGACCCGGGCCTTTAATTCTGGGGGGGTTTACCCTGCCGGTGGATAAGAAGTTGTTAAATGACATTAATCCACCTTTTGTTTGTGTTAGTTGTTTAAAGTCTGCTTTCGATAAATCTTGTCCACGATAAACTGTAAAGATTTCATCCATATGCTGTTCTTTGTGTAGTTGATCGATTTGTCGATGGAGATCATTGATAAAGAAACCCATTCGGGTCATTATGTTACCATCCATCAGTCCGATTCCACGATTGAGCATAGGATATAAAAAACTTTCACAACTATACCACTAGATTGGTGTCTCCAGATGATATGTGCGTTCCATCTGTTTAATATTGTTCAGCTCTTCTTTGCTATCACCAAAAATTTCGCGATAATAGTTCAAGTAGCCTTGAATATGTGTATCGTCGAAGTTGATACTGGATAAGATTTCTTTTAAGATCTGCGTGTACATAAACGATGGATCTAGTGATTAACCGACGTTTGAGCGCCCGACATTTGAGCGCCCGACACTTGAGCGCCCCGACATTTGAGCGACCGAGATTTGAGTAATAACGACCGTTCAGCACCAAGTGCTCACTCTCACCCTCACCCACCCTTACCCTACACAGCCTCACCCTCAGATCTCCAAATAATTCAGTTCATAATCGGACGACAAAAAAATTGTTC